AAAAAAAAAAAAAAAAAAAAAAAAAAAAAAAAAAAAAAAAGCCAGGCGCGGTGGCTCACACCTGCAATCCCAGCACTTGGGGAGGCCGAGGCAGGCGGATCACAAGGTCAAGAGATCGAGACCATCCTGGCCAACATGGTGAAACCCCGTCTCTACTAAAAAATACAAAAATTAGCTGGGCGTGGTGGCACACACCTGTAGTCCCAGCTACTTGGGAGGCTGAGACAGGAGAACTGCTTGAACCCAGGAGCTGAAGGTTGCAGTGAACCAAGATTGTGCCACTGTACTCCAGCCTGATGCCTGGCGACAGAGCGAGACTCTATCTCAAAAAAAATAAAATAAATAAAAAAAAAAAAAAAAAAAACCGCTGTATTCCAGCCTGGGCAATAGAGTGAAACCCTATCTCAAAAAAAAAGAAAAGCAGGACATAGACCCAGGTGTTATAGTATGTATGCCTGTACTCCCAACTACATGGGAGGCTCAACTGGGAGGATCACTTGTGGCCAGGAGTTCAAGGCGGCAGTGTATGCTATGACCATACCTATGGATAACCACTGCACTCCAGCCTGAGACCACGTTTTTGGAAGTTTATGTGCTGCTTTTTAAAATTGAATTTTTTTTTTTTTTTTTGAGACGTTGTCTCGCTCTGTCACCAGGCTGGATTGCACTGGAGTGATCTTGGCTCACTGCTACCTCTGCCTCCTGGGTTCAAGCGATTCTCCTGCCTCAGCCTCCCAAGCAGCTGGGACTACAGGCACATGCCACCACACCCAGCTAACATTTTTTTTTCTTTTTCTTCTTCTTCTATTTTTTTTTTTTTTTAAGAGACAGAGTCTTGCTCTGTCACCCAGGCTGGAGTGCAGTGACGCCATCTCATCTCACTGCAACCTCTGCCTCCTGGGTTCTGTTAATTCTCCTGTCTCAGCCTCCTCAGTAGCTGGGACTACAGGCGTACACTAGTACACCCAGCCAATTTTTTGTATTTAGTAGAGATGGGATTTTACTGTGTGGCCCAGGCTGGTCTTGAACTCCTGATCTCAGGCAATCCACTCACCTTGGCCTCCCAAAGTGCTATGATTCCAAGCGTAAGCCACTGCGCCCAGCCTAGGTAATTTTTGTAGTTTTAGTAGAAACGGGGTTTCACCATGTTAGCCAGGATGGGAGTTAATTTTTTTTTAAACAATGAAAAGTCTCACTATTTTGCCTAGGCTAGAGTGCAGTGGCTATCCATAGGTATGGTCATAGCATACGCTGCAGCCTTCAACTCCTGGCCACAAGTGATCCTCCCAGTTGAGCCTCCCATGTAGTTGGGAGTACAGGCATACATACTGAAATAGGGTTTCACTCTGTTGCCGAGGCTGGAATGCAGTGGTACAGTCATGGCTCACTGCAGCCTCAATCTCCCTGGCTCAAGCAAGCAATACTCATACCTCAGCCTCCTGAGTAGCTGGGACCATAGGAACATGCCACCATACCCTAATTAAATTTTTTCCTATAGACAAGGTCTTGCTAAGTTGTTCAGGCTAATCTTGAACTCCTGGGCTCAAGCCATCCTCCTGCCTCTGCCTCCCTAAGTGCTGGGATTATAGACATGAGCCACTCCACCCTGCTGAATCAAGTATTTGTTATTTGTTTAACAGGAGGTCTTTTAAATCATGGGTCTATGTGGAAGCAGAGGCAGGGGAAAGGATTCTAGGTAGCCAAGTATGGCTTCCATTGGGTTACTAGACTTTTTGTTGTTGTTGTTTTACAACTTTAGAGGCAGAATTATTATTATTATTATTTTTGAGGCATGGTCTCACTCTGTCGCCCAGGCTGGAGTACAGTAGTGCAAACTTGGCTCACTGCAACCTCCACTCCCCTGGTTCCCTTGCCTCAGCCTCCCAAGTGGCTGAGATTACAGGTCCCCGCCACCACTCCAGGCGAATTTTCGTATTTTTTTTTTTCCCAGTAGAGACAGGGTTTCACCATGTTGGCCAGACTGATCTTGAACTCCTGACCTAAAGTGATCTGCGTGTACCAAAGTGCTGGGATTACAGGCGTGAGCCACTGTACCCAGCATAAATTTGTTTAATCTTGAGGGTTTTTTTTCTTTTTTCTTTTTGAGACAGAGTTTCACTCTTGTTGCCCCAGGCTGGAGTACAGTGGCGTGGTCTCAGATCACTACAACCTCTGCCTCCTGGGTTCAAGCGATTCTCCTGTCTCAGCTTCCCAAGTAACTGGGATTACAGGCATGTGACACCATGCCTGGCTTATTTTTGTATTTTTAGTAGGTGTGAGCCCCCGTGCCCCACCAATCTTAACTATTTCACAGGCCCTGTAGCTCAAAATACTCCTAAATACCTTTGTGTGGTTCATAGTTGAGGGGACGAGACAAACTTGCTTGAAGATCAAACACTGGTTTCTTATTCGAGACTGGAGTCTGCATTGCCTCAGTTGTCAACTTGAATGGAGTAATAACTAAAAAAAAAACAAAACAAAACAAAACCAAGAGCTTAGTTAGAAACAAAGACCTGTCAAAATGTTTGTCAAAGTGTTACTTCTCAATCTTAAAAATACATGTTATTATCTGAATGTTTGTACCTCTTGCGACCCCAAATTCATGTTGAAATACTAACCCTCAATATGGCTGGTGCAAGGAAGTAGGGCCTCTGAGAGGTACGTAGGTCATGCATGGGATTCAGTGCCTCATAAAGGGACCCCGCAGAATTTTTTCTAGCTCTCTTTCTGTCACATGAGCATACAACAAGTTGGCAGTCTGCTACCTGGAAAAGAGCCCTTGCCAGAATCATGCTAGTGTCCTGATCTGTCTTCATCCAGCCTCCAGAACTATGAGAAATAAATTACTGCTGTTTATAAGATACAGTCTTTGTGCTTTGTTGTATAATAGCAGCCCCAAAGGACTAAGACAATCTACATGAATACTTTGAAATAGATGAAAGAGTCTGAAGTAAGGGTTAAAATGGAGACAAGGGAAGAAAACAATAACTGAGGAAAGCTAACCATTGAGTTTAGTTTCCTTTGCTAAACAGCTTTGTAAATGTTCTGAATATGACATTTCTTAGTATCAGCTGGGAATTTAGAATTCTGTTGAAAGAAATAACGGTATGGCCGGGTGCGGTGGCTCACGCCTGTAATCCCAGCACTTTGGGAAGAGGAAGCCAGTGGATCACCTGAGGTCAGCAGTTCAAATCCAGACTGACCAACAGGGAGAAACCCCATCTCTACTAAAAATACAAAATTAGCTGGGCGTAGTGGCCCATGCCTGTAATCGCAGCTACTGGGGAGGATGAGGCAGGAGAATCACATGAACCCACGAGGCAGAGGTTACAGTGAGCCAAGATCTCGCATTGCACTCCAGGCTAGGCAACAAGAGGGAAACTGTCTCAAAGAAAAGAAAATAAAGAAAGAAATAATAGTAATTTTTCAGCTTATTTCCCTGATAACAGTTACCCATAAAAATTACATATTAATAGTATTAACATTAATAAACATAAAAAGAACCTAATCACATAAAGTTGAAAGGATTCATGGCCTGGTGACTCATACCTGTAATCTCAGCACTTTGGAAGGCTGAGGCAGGAGAATTGTTTGTAGACAGGAATGTTATTAATAAAGGCTGTTATCACTTAAGAATATGAATTTTTGGGGGGCTGGGTGTGGTGGCTCACGCCTATAATCCCAACATTTCAGGAGGCTGAGGAGGGCGGATCACAAGGTCAGGAGATTGAGACTATCCTGGCCAACACAGGGAAAGCCCATCTCTACTAAAAATACAAAAATCAGCTGGATGTGGTGGTGTGCACCTGTAGTCCCAGCTATTTGCAGGGCTGAGGCAGGAGAACGACTTGAACCTGGGAAGCAGGGGTAGCAGTGAGCTGAGGTTGCATCACTGCATCCAGCCTGGTGACAGAGGGAGATTCCATCTCAAAAAAAAAAGAAAAACAAAAAAATATAAATTTTTGAACCATGAAGTTAAAAATATCCAGCATGATGTTGTTTTTACTTTTTTGAGATGGAATCTTGCTCTGTCTCCCAGGCTGGATGATATGACCTTGGCTCAGTGCAACCTCTGCCTCCCCGGTTCAAGTGATTCTCAAGTGAGTAGCTGGGATTACAGGTGTGTGCCACCAGGCCTGGCTAATTTTTGTATTTTTAGTAGAGACGAGGTTTTGCCTTGTTGGCCAGGCTGGTCTCAAACTCCAGACCTCAAGTGATCCTCCTGCCTTGGCCTCCCAAAGAGCTGAGATACAGCTGTGAGCCACTGTGCCTGTCTAAAGATGGTATAGTTTAGTTAGCCTTTTTGCTACAGTTGGCCATCAGTTATCCAGCACATTTTTTTTTTGAGACAGGGTCTCACTCTGTTGCCCAGGCTGGCTGGAGTGCAGTGGCACAATCTCAGCTCATTGCAACCTCTGCTTCCTGGTTCAAGTGATCCTCCCACCTCAGCCTCCTGAGTAGCTAGGACTACAGGTACATGCCACCATGCTGGGCTGATTTTTGTATTTTTAGTAGAGATGGTGTTTCACCATGTTTGCCAGGCTAGTGTTGAACTCCTGACCTCAAGTGGTCTACCTGCCTTGGCCTCCCAAAGTGCTGGGATTACAGGCAAGAGCCACTGTGTCTGGCCAATCCTTTCTCTTCATAGGGGGAAGCCACTTATCAGTTGTATCTGGGTCATTGTCAAATGTGAACACTTGCCTCTATCTGTGAACCAGCAATCAGGATCTAAGATCAGCTAGTGAAACAAAAAAAGCACAAAACACCGTGTTGAAGGGATCCCACTGTATCAATATCAAGTGTCGGCAGGGAGTAGAATAAGAGGCTGCCATACACTGCCAGTGGAAAGCACAAACTGTTACAATTCATCCAGGGCAGTAAATGTCTGCATATTTTCCAATACAGCTGTCCTGCTCCTAGGTCTAGGGAAATTCTTGCACAGGAGACATGTTTAAGAGTATTCATAGCAACGTCATATATAATCATGAAAGCTGGAATGACCCACATGTTCATGAATAGTACAATAGATAAATCAACTGACATATACTCATACCATTGAAAAATACAGTGAAAATGAGTCAACATGATTGAATCTTGAAACATGAACTTTGTGGTCTGGGATCCTATTAGTGTCAGAGTCCTCCAGAACCATTCTGAGGCTGTAATGAATACTGTGCTCATCCTCCTAATCCCTGAGTCCTATAAGGGACACAGTGCTATTCCTGGAGGGTCCCCATTTTAGGATTAGATGGAGCTCTCAGGCAGTTTATCAGATTTTTGCTTATGTCTCTGGCCTTTCCCTCACTAGTACACAATGAATAGGCTACAGTAAAATTTTTGCCTTTGATTTTATAGGTATGGAAAGGGTTTAAGGAAACAGATACAGGCTGGGTGTGGTGACTCATGCCTATAATCCCAGCACTTTGGGAAGCTGAGGCAGGTGGATCACCTCAGGTCAGGAGTTTGAGACCAGCCTGACCAAAATGATGAAATCCTGTCTCTACTAAAAATATAAAATTAGCCGGGTGTGGTGGTGCATGCCTGTAATCCCAGCTACTCTGGAGGTGGAGGCAGGAGAATTGCTTAAACCTGGGAGGTGGAGATTGTAGTGAACCAAGACTGCACTGCACCACTCCGGCCTGGAAAACAAAAGAGAAACTCCGTCTCAAAAAAGAAAAAAAAAGAGAGAGAGAGAGAGAAATGAAATGGATGGCTGGGTGTGGTGGCTCACACCTGTAATCCCAGCACTTTGGGAAGCCGAGGCGGGCGAATTACTTGAGGTCAGGAGATCGAGACCATCCTGACCAACATGGTGAAACCTGTCTCTATTAAAAAATACAAAAATTAGTTGTGCTTGGTGGCGGGTGCCTGTAATCCCAGCTACTCAAGAGGCTGACGCAGAATAGCTTGAATTAGGGAGTCAGAGGATGCAGTGAGCCGAGATCGCATCACTGCACTCCACCCTGATGGCAGAGTGAGACTTCATCTCAAAAAAAAACAAAAAACAAAAAAAAAAAACCCCCCCTTTTTTTTTTTTTTTTTTAACCAGCAGAATTCCTCTTGGTGGTCTTTATTTTGTGTGTCCCAAGCACAGCCTCACCTTTTGGGGTATTCCCAGACATGGTCACACGTGCAGACCTTCTGGCTGGAGTCTTGGTCAGTGAACGCTTATGCTCATTATCTTTAGTAGCAGCTGAAAACCTAAATAGGACAGCAGAATACAAGACATGAGAACTGTGGCAAGAGGAACTTGTATCTAGCTTATAAATAAAACCCTTTCACTAGGAATAGAGTAGCAAAGAAAAAAAAATGAAATAAATAAATAAATAAAACCACTTGACCAATAGCAAACAGTGAAAAGGGCCTCAATGAATACTTGTCTTTTTTTTTTTTTTTCTTACCCAAATCAAAAAGATTTTCCCAGCACAGAATACTTGTCATAGTAATGAACCTCTTTTGCAGAAGAGACATATTCCTAAAAGGCTGATGCTAAAGTAAATCACATTTCAACTTCCGTT